ATGGGAGATCAAAATTAAGATAAATTACATTACGCTTCAATTACATCACTTACATAAACAATAGACAATTAGAAAGTCCTCATGGACAGGACAGTACATGCATTTCAAGAGTTTTGTTCCAATCCAGTATAAAAAGAACTTAGTCAGAACACTGTTCAATAGAGCACGAAAAATTTGTTCTGACAGTACTGTTGATTATGAAATAAAATCCCTGAAGGATATCTTATCTAAGAATGGATATCCTGAGAAGTTCATTAATAAATACTCTAAAGAAAACACCCACTGCAAAACAATCCAAACAGTTTCGAAGAAACCTGTCTATATCAGCTTGCCGTTCAAAGGAGATGATGTACAGGAAGTAGTCAAACGAAGACTCGACAAAGCCATCAAGAGAACTTATTATGCTTCAAAACTTGTTTTCCTTAACACCACTAAGCGAGTGCTTCAACAATCTGGGAAAGACCAGTCGCCAATCCTCGACACTTCAAACTGCGTATATCAATTTGAGTGTGTTTGTGGAAGCAAATACATAGGTCGTACGGAAAGGAGATTGTTTACTCGCATGATGGAGCATTTGCCAAAATGGTTGAAAACAGCTGAGTTCAAAGTGCCAAAATCCTCAATAACAAAACATCTTGTGGATTACGGGCATGATATCGACGCGGTCAAGTCATTCACTATTGTCAGCAGACAAAGAAACAAGAAGATGCTTGCAATTGCAGAGGCTTGTGCAATTCGAGTTTACAAACCAGGTCTCTGTTTACAAAAGGAGATGGTCGTGACTCTGAATCTACCATGGTAATACGTTTTACTTATAATTCTACCTCTTATTATTATTATTATTATTATTTATTATTATTCTTGATTCATTTAAAACTATCCTTTATCAGTAGCATTATCTTAACTCACTTCAACACTATTATTATTATTATTGTTATTATAACTATTACTATTGATATTACTCTGTTTGCAATTCTTGTTATATTCTCTAATAACTAATTGTTTATCTAAGTGATGTAATTGAAGCGTAATGCATTTTATCTTAATTTTAATCTCTCATACCCTCTCTCCACTTATCTATTTGAACATGACCTGGAAAAACATTCGCACTTGTCTTTCTGCACGACTAATTCAATGTAGTTTGTTTACTTATCAGTCCTATATCTCCCGATGTAATTTCAAAAGTATATATATCCGTGTATGTAGAGTATTCAGCTGACGAGTTCTACCGAAATTTGATGAATTCATTAAATCCTGCTTTATTAACCTGCTTTGTCGCTTGTTTTAAATTCGTATCGGGAAATAAATGTTTCCAATAATAATAATAATAATAATAATAGAAAGGTGTATTCACATGTGTGTGTCGAATCAATAAATTTAAGCATGATACACGTACATACATCAATGTAGAAAAAAAAACACCAAAAAGAACACACGGGATTCAGGGATAGGAAAACATATGATTTATACAAATATTGAAATAAATTTTCAAGGATTAGTTTGTAGGGATTTTATTTGTTTCTCGTTAGACGACGGATTGATATAAGTTAGTGAACCATTGAAAACCGGCCGGAAAGTACTGGACAGCTGTTTCGTCAGCCTAGTTTGGGACTCTTCAGTAGTACAAAGCCACCCCAGCGCCGGGGTTCGAACCCAGGACCTTCTGGTTACAAGGCAAGCTAGCTCGTAGGCCATTAAGCCACTGGGACCTGCGGTTAGCCCATGAATTCCCCAACTTCTGACAATTCACGAAGTAGCGCGACTACTAGTTAATGATCATCAGTGGCGAGTATTTCTCCTCACACCCAAATCGCTGTACCCCATCCCCACTGGTCATGACTTTCCACTAGAACCACAGGTAACTACTGACCTGAATAGGGAAGGTCGTTGGTGAACATGAGATTGATATTCAAGTTTTAATTTGCAGGCATTTGATTGGTCGAATGTGAGGATAAATACTCGTCACAGATGACGTTGGCTAGTGGTCGTGCTATGTCATGAATTAGTGGAAATTGGAATTCATGAGCCATTGGATCAGGTCTCAGTGGCCTACGAGCTCGCCGGGGCTTGATTCTTGGTGAGTATGCCGTAATTTGTGCTTGAAACGTGTTCATCAGTTAATATTACTGTACAACACTGTGACTTATTTAAATAAAATTTTATCCATAATGGAGTTATACTCTACCACAGTGCCCACAGTGCTGGTCTCCATCCTCCATTGGTTCTCACCTTCCCGGTGACCCCGTCCAGCCAGGAATTGTACACATCCCTAGGTGACTTAAGCTAACTGTTGTGGATTTCATTGACTGATGAAGTTATGTTTTGGTTTGACCACCATTAAATCTTTTCCAACCTGATCCACCCTATGTCAGCGACTAAGATTTCCCGTCCGTCAAGTAAGGCTACGGTTGGCTAGGTTAGGCATGAGTAACACATGAGTCCTAACCATCTCAATAGGTATAACTTCACAACCACCTTGTCGATTGACTTCTTGTCCTTACTTAGCACTCGACGCCTAACCTCAACATTACTCACCTTGATAAACCATTTAACACGGGAAATAGAACGCTGATGGGGGTCAACCCCAAACGAGCGAAACAGCCGTCTGGTGTTTCGATCACTCGGATCTGACTAGTAAGCACTACTGGTTAACGGGGGAAGTTCACAATCACTTACTCATCTCAATTAATCAGTAATATATTGTTTTCTTGCGCATATAGGTTATATAAGATACATTATATTGTTCCCTTGGGTTCCATGTGCAACATACGTCTTGGACACCCCGTTTGCGTTTCATCACGTTGTTTGTAGTTTTTTTGCAGCTGGCTCCACAACTGCCCATACAGCTGCCATGTCCGCCTACCACGATCTCTTCCATTTCACCATTGGACCCACATTCAACTAGCCATTTCCCATTCGGGTTCCACTTGAGGCTTGATGTGTGTCACTCAACAGTCTCCGCCAACTCCACTTCCCTCGGTATACTGTTAGCCCATTCGCTGCTTTCCAGGGTGTTCCTTGTTGCCTATCCCTTCAAGTCAACCGTGTGATCGTCAATATATGATTACGAAGTGGACAGTGATTGATAAAAATTTGCAGCACAGCCTATTGGAAATGCTATTTGCTGATGTGTGAAGTAAATCTTCAAACCATACAGAAACTCTGACTAACTTGACATTAGTGTTGAGAACACGGACCTCGTTCCCTAATGCTGAGTGCAACAGATGTCTTTCTAGGTGAAGACGCTGACAAAATAGAGCAGAGTCTTCTGAACGCATTGAGCTGCAATCTGCGAATGTTTGGCATGCGGTTCGCTCCCTCTGTCAAATGTAAGATGTTGCTACAGGACTGGACTTCACTGACTCCTGACTAAAAAATATATGGTGAAGTGGTAGAGTGCGTTGACCACTTCACTCACTTGGGAAGTTGCATCAGCCAATGCCAGCGGGTTGGTCGCTGACGAAATCTCAGCAAGGATACAGGAGGCTCGGTCGGCATATGCCAGTTTACGCCGTCTATGGTGTAGACGTGATATACGACTGACTGTCGACTAACGGGTGTGTGTACTGCTCAGCAGTCCGCTCCGCCCTCCTTTATGGCTGTGAGATATGGCCATTGAGAGTGGAAGATATGAAAAGGCCAGCTAGCTGTCTTTGATCATAGGTGACTGCATTCTATCTCCCGTGTCAGGTGGTGGTATAATGGGGTGAGCAATATTGAGGTTAGGCATCGGTCGAGTGCTAGGTAAGGAGTGGAAATCAATCGATGAGGCGGTTGTGAAGCAGCTGCATCGATTGAGATGGTTAGTAAATGTGTTACGCATGCCTAGTCATTGACTTCCTCGGCAAAGGACAATGTGAGCTGACATAGAGTCAGGTTGAAAAAGAGCCAGTGGTGGTCAAACCAAAACATCGCTTCATCGTTCAATGAAATCCACAACAGTTAGTTTAAGCCATGTAGGGAGGGAGGTGTAAACTGTTGTCTGGTTGGGGTCCTTGGGATGGTAATAACGAAAGACGGATGGAGATAATCGGTGATATGGCTCAAGGTGATCGTTCTCGATGGCTGGCGCAGTTAAATTTATCCACTCTTTGTGACTTATAATTTCCAATAAAAATGTATCGCTTTTCGTTATTACTATTCCTTTTGTTCTATATCCCTGTCCACTGTCACTATATTCCATTTTGTTAACTTTCTTCTCTTGCTTTGTGTGCTACAAGGAGGGAGTGTGGCGACTTGAACTGGTGCACATTGGTGCAAAGTTCTACGTTGAAAAGACAGACCGACAGACATACAGGTGTCTTGCTTTAATCTGAAATCACAGTTCAATAATGTGCGTCGGTGGCACAGTGGTTAGGACTCTCGCCGGCTATGCACATGGTCCGTGGTTCGATCTCCTGCCGACGCACACTCAATATCAATGGTCGGCCTGCAAAATTTGTGCTACCGATATCACATGCTGAAAATTCTTTACTTCTACTAAAAAAAGTACTGTGTGGAATCAAGCTGCAATCAAAAAATATATATTTTGTGCGTAATAATAAAATTCCCATTAACTGAATGTTACTCACTTTTAATTTAAGTTGAGAATTTTGATAAATTGTTGAGCTCATTAATCTTAACTTTAATTTATACTCTTCTATATTATTAATATGATAAGAAACACTAGGAGCTGTAACACCGGCAACAGCAGCACCGAAAGTAGCCGACGTTGTATCAATTCCACAGCCAGCCGAACCACTTGACGCTATAAACAGTGGCGATAATTTCACTCGACTCCAATATTCAAATGTTAGTAGCAAATTAAACAAGTGGATAATTTGCACATCATTGAAACAATCAATCCTGTTCAATAGAATATCCAGAAGTGATTGTAAAATATACAAGACATCTACAGGATTCAAGCTCTTCATTCGTATTAACTCGATAAACATGCCGATCAATAAATACGGAAGTAGAATTCGAGCGTCTGTCGATGTCGACGATGATGATGATGATGACAATAGGGGGTATTGAGAACATTGTTCAAGGATAGATAAGAATTGGCGTAATTGCTGTTCTTCATCAGATGACAAGGATGTCTGCGGTGTTGCTGATGGCGGTGACGGTGACAGCGATGACGATGAGTCGACTAGACTATAAAGAAGACTATCATTCAACGTTGACCATAAGGATGACAATAATGCCGATGGTGTTGATGATGTTGATGACATTTGTTTAAATAGAATAAATAAAGTACGTAGACTTAATTTAAAGTGTTTACATGAGAATATTGATTTTATCAGGGTGTTTAACGTTTGTGATTCAAGTCTCCAAAACTGGCAATCACTAGGATTATTACTATTATTATTTTATTATATTATCAACTGTTCCGCTATTCTCACTACCACCACCCATAGCTGATACATTTACTGTCTGTAGTGATAAAATAACAAATGCACTGATTGGATTTAACAATGAACACGATGACCTTGATGTAGTTGTTGTTGTTTTACTGTGCTTTTTTCTGCCTTCATCATTTAACGCGTACAATTTAAACCAAACTTGATTTATACTCTCTTTGATTAACGATGAATTTATTGAATTACGTGAAAAATGATTATCATAAATAATTGTGCCTGGTATTAACAGCCGTAGTAACAGTTCAACAGCCCAATGGATCAAATCTGTAATCATTGATAAATTAGCATCACAGTTCAGTGATGAGTGATGATGATGATGACGTCGAGGATGGAGAGGTGGAAATATTTTCTACACTATACGTACGACGAGATAATTCTGATTGATTATTTGCCGGTGCTTGTACACCACTTGATTTAATCCGTAACCGACGTTGACTGGTAAGTAAGGCAGAGAGAAATTGATCGGTTAAATTGTAAGCCAATAAGTTGACTGAAGATTTTGCGGATTGGTAAATATTTGACGCCTGAAATAATAATAATAACAATAATAATAGTAATAGTAATAAGCAAACAAACAGAGAGATTATTTTATATACCAAACTGTCTGTCTGGATTCAACATAGAACTTGGCACCGAAGTGCAGCACTTCGAGTTGCCACATTCCAAATAGCACACAAAGGTAGACAAGAAAATGAGTGAAGAGAATCAATAGAGTTTTGACAAGTATAAGAGTGAAACAGAATGAGTAATGGTAGAAAGGAATATGAAAGATTACAGAGACTGAATACATCTGCGTAAGCCATTGACAACGATTTTGAGCCATGTCACCTATTGTCTCCAGCCATTGATTGATTCTTAGAGTCCCGAGGGCGGGCCCCAACCCAGAAGTCTGCATCTCCCTACCTGACTCAGTTTAACTGTCAAGGATTTCATGGATTGATGGATGCCATGTTTTTGTTTGGCCACCACTTACTCTTTTCCAACCCACAACACCTATATCAGCTAGTAATGCCCGTCCGTCGGGGGAGGCAGGGATGGTTAGGCATGCGCAGCACGTCACCTAGCCATCTCAATCTATGTAACTTTATAGCCTCTTCGATTGATTTTCCCTCTTTGCCCAACCAACACTCTACGCCTAACGTCAACATTACTTACCTTATTATACCACCTAACGTGAGAAAGAGATCGTAAACATCTGTGGTCAAAAACAGACAATCTCTTCATGTCTTCTGCTCTCAATGGCCACGTCTCACCGCCATAGAGAAGGACGGAGCGAACTACTGAGCAGTATACACGTCCCTTGGTTGATAGCCGGATGTCACGCCTACGCCAGAGACGGTGTAAGTTAGCGAAAGCAGCTGGAGCTTTTTGGATCCGTGCTGTGATTTCGTCACCAATCAATCCGTTGGTGCTGATACAACTTCCTAAATAGGTGAAGTGGTCAACATGTTCTATCACTTCACTCCCATTCACTATCACTAAGCTAGGAGTTGACGTAGTCCAGTCCTGTAGTAGCATCTTACATTTTACAGGGGCGAATCGCATGCCAAACATACGAAGATTGCTGCTCAGGGTGTTCAGAAGACTCTGCTCTATTTTGTCAGCATCCTCCCCTGACAGGACTATGCCATCTGCATATTCTAAGTCCATAAGACTATAGCCTTCACAGACGTATTACCAAGTCAGAATCCCTTGATGGTTCAGGGACTTGGTATGTATATCACACCAAAGCCATTTACAATAAGCAGGAGACTTCGACATGACAGAGAACTAGCCAATAGTCTATATACCTACTAACTAGCTGAGATAAGTAGTTACATATACCACTGGCATCAACCAGTACTGCTTGCCAACCAGATAAAACTGATTTAAACACCGGCCAGCGCTGTTACAATCGTTTAGGGCTACGCCACCTATCAGTGATGTGCCTGGTTCAACTCAGCCAACAGCCTTTTATTGTTCAAGAAATTTGCAGAAGAAAAAAGAGACGAATTGGACATATGCTGAGATGACTTTCAAGTGACAGCTCAACTCCCCCAAATACTCGAGTAGAACTCGAATGGGAAGTGACAAGCTGGGTGTCTGAAGATCATGTGGGGAAGAGGAGATGTAAGCCTGTGAGGAGTCGTAGAAGGGTTTCAAGTAGACGACGGATAACCACATGGAATGAAGATGTCCTGCTGAAGGAATGATTCATAATAATAATAATAAATTTTAATATATATATCTATTTGGTTTAACGCTAGGTCTGTTTGAGTTTAATATTTATCAATAAGCATTTGAAAACAAGTTGATTAAATACGCAATACAATACCTACACTTCTTCATAACCTTCCGGCACACCATCAACAACGCAGTGGAGTCAAGCCTTTCAACCAACCACCACCTACATTACATTATTTCTCGAGGAGATCGAATGACAGGAAGTACGTTGCACACGTGTCAAAGCTGCCACCATAGGGTGGTACAGACTTACAGTTATATCTGCCGCTGACTTGCTGATTTACTCGCCTAAAACTTTATTCATCTCTTCAACATTATTTAATATCTGTGCTTCCACATGCATGTAAATAATCCTCAACAAAGACACCTAAGTTTAGAAGCATGTTGGCACTAAGTGTTTTATCTTCAGTTGCATTATCTTACCATTGTAAAGTAGGGTAGAGGATACTATTATTGTCATTATTGTTTCCTTTAGTTCCTGGAGGAACATAGGGCTTCAGTCGCACGTCTCCATTGCATCCCCTTCTCTGCCAACGTTTTCACCTGGCTCCATGTCTCCCACATGCTTTTATCTCCTCTTTACATGACCTTCTCCAAGTTACCCTTTGACGAACAACTCGTCGCTTCCCGTTCGGGTTCCACTCGAGCAATGGCCTGGAGTGTGATGTCACTCACTTGATGGTTTCCTCAGAGTATGACCTCCAATCCACCTACCTCCATTTCTTCCTGCTTATTTGTTGTACAATCGGTTCCTGCTGCGTTGGTTCTTTCATCGCCAGAGATCTCTCCGTGTTGCTGATCTTTTCTGGATACTAGGACTACATAAGACCGTGTTCTTTTGACAAGTTGTTGAACATCTCTCCCCAGTATCATTGACGAACTAGACGAGCTTTTCGCGTCTATACTAAGGCATTATTCATATCTTCTGAAATAAGTGAAGTGGCCAATACATATGATCATAAAGTCTCCAAATTTAGGGTCCGTAAGGACTCATTCTACGCGGGGTTTTTTTTTTGGGGGGGGGTCAGAAGCACAATCTTTAACTTAACAGTTGCTACGCTACATAATGGCGTCGGTGGCTTACTGGTAGAATGCTCACCAACAACGTCTCATGCGGTAAGGGTTTGAAATTCCGGGCGATGTACTACTACTAAACCTCGCTTAGCTGGGTAGTTAACCTAGGAAAGAGGAAAGGATGCGCGGGGGGGATGAGACCAGCAACAGTAACCTGCAACTGAAACTTTAAAGTTTGAAGCACGAAGCCTTATATATCCCACTCGGAACGCAAAAGCAACTAAAAACAAAAAGAACTCTTCACAAAAATACAAAGTTTTAAAACAGACCACATAATAACTCACTCACCAGTATGGGATTAATTAATCGGTATATATTAAAATGAGGCATATTTGATAGATGTTTATCGACAATTTCGCATAATCCTAAAGCCATGTTTAAGTGTAATGGGAAAGGAATGAAAGGTTCACCGGATTGCTGCAGAGATAGAAAAATTGAAAAAATATTTGGGTGAATATATATAATAAAATAATAATATACAATACAATAAAAATAGTAATTAAGTATAAAATTTATATATTTGGTGAGATAGTGCTGCAGGACTGAACTACACCAATTCCTAGCTTAACGACGGTGGGTGGGAAGGGGTGGGGGGGGGGGTTAAAGTTGTTGAGTGTGTAGACCACTCTTCACTTACTTGGGAAGTTGTATCAGCCATAATGGACTGCTTACAAGCGAAAATCGGCAAACTGGTCGAAGAAGCAGCAAAGACAGGACTCCAGGTGAACATAGACAAGAAGGAGGTTATGGAAATAACCAACCAACAACAACAGCAGCAGCAGCACCAACATCTAGCGACAATCACCATCAACGGGAGGGATTTGAAAGAGGTTACTTCATTCACTTATCTAGGGAGCATTGTCTCAACTACAGGAGCAATGGACGAAGATGTCAAATCGAGAATCGGGAAGGCGAGAAACACATTCATCAACCTGAAACCAATCTGGAAATCTTCCGCTGTCACTCAGCCTGCATCAACAACAAAATTCGGATTTTCAATACAAACGTCAAGTCAGTCAGTTCTTCTATACGTATTGATCAGAAACTTGGCCAGTGTGTCACAAAGAATATTTCCAACAGCCTGTTGCAGATTTTTATCAACAACAACTGTCTTCGTTCTATACTGAATATCAGATGGCCGGAAAGAATCACCAACAAGAAACTATGAGAACAAACAAAAAAAGAACCAATCTTCCAACAAATATGCAGGAGAAAGTGGAGGTGGATTGGATACTCTCTGAGGAGGCCGCTGGGTAACATCGCGCGTCAGGCCATTGCTCGAGTGGAACCCGAAAGGGAAGCGACGAGTGTCACACGTCCAAGCGTGACATGGAGGAGATCGTGTGAAGAGGAGTTGAAACAGTATGGACTAACATGGATGCAGGTGAAAAGTACAGCAGAAGACATAGACAAGTGGAGACGTGTAGTTGAAGCCCTATGTTCCACTGGGAACCCAAGGGAACAATAAATAATAACATAATGGACTGCTTGCTGACGAAATCTCATTATAGATGCAAAATGCTCATATGGATTTCGCCAACTTACGTTATCTCTCTGGCATAGAGTTGATTTCAGGCTATCAAACAAAGGACATAATATGTAATGCGCAGAGTAATTCACGCCATCCTCCTCTTTTATGGCTGTGAGACGTGTCCACCATTGAAAGCTGAAGATACGAAAAGGTTGCCTGTCTTTGACTTTGTAGATAACTTTCAATGAATTCCCCTTGAAAAAATCTAGCGATTAGTGTTGAAAAAGTGTCCAATTGTGGCACTCCGGACTGACTCATCACTGTGACGTTTTTCTAAGGTTCTTTGACATTATTACATAAAACAGGCATTGAACGACCCCTACAGATATCTCTTTCCAAAACAGCAAGTAAATCAGTAGGTATACAGATGGGGTTAGAAATGCGACAGTTTACCCTACCATTATATAAGAGAATCTCTTTTGCACTATATTCACCTGTTACATAACATATGTTGATATTTATCCCTGTATTTCCAAGTATTGGTTTTTTGTAGGGATTTTGTTTGATTGGTGGGAGGATTTCATCATGAGCTGACATCAGTTAGAGAACCATTGAAAAACCACCTGGGAGTACTACCAGACAGCTGTATCGTCAGCCTAGTTTGGGGCTCTTCATCAGTACGTACCCACCCTGCTGAGATTCGAACCCAGGACCTTCTGGTTACAAGGCGAGCTAGCTCGTAGACCATTAGGCTACTGGGAGCGGATCCAATGACCCATGAATTCTAACTTCTCTATAGTTTTTGTATTAACAGCCAATCTTTCTAAGCGTTCTCTCGTATATTACATAATCTTTATCGTCGTCTTAGTTACAATTTCATAAGTCCTCACTATTTTCAAATATTTTGATGATGTAAGCAATATTCCCAACTAATTTATTTTTATTATTCTTTTTTTGTTATTGACTTTAGGCGGACTGACAAGACAAGCAAGACAAGCTTTCACTACTTTCAAGTCTGTGTGGAGGTCAACAGCAATCAGCATCAAAAATAAGATCCAGATTTTCAACTCCAATGTGAAGTCAGTGTTACTCATTATACGAATCAGAGACTTGGCCAGTGCGTCATGAAGAGCACCTCAAACAAACTACACACCTTCATCAACAGCTGCCTTCGCTCGATACTCAAGATCAGATGGCCGGCCAGAAAAGATCAGCAATAGAGATCTCTGGGAGCGAACCAACCAGGAACCGATTGTGAAACAAATAAGCAGGAAGAAATGGAGGTAGGTGGATTGGAGTCCATACTCTGAGGAAACAACGCATCAAGTGACATCACTAGACAAGCCATCGCTCGAGTGGAACCCGAAAGGGAAGCGACGAGTTGGTCGTCAGTGCAAGGGTGACTTGGAGGAGGTCATGTGAAGAGGAGATGAAAACGTGTGGGAAGACATGAAGCCAGGTGAAGACTATAGCAGAGGACAGAACGCAATGGGGACGCACGGCTGAAGCCCTATGCTCCTCTAGGAATTAAAGGAAAAAATAATAATAATTTTTTGTTATATGTGGCACACTGAATGTACACATGTATACAAAAACAGTTATTTATTTTGGATTTTGGCGACTAGACAGTTATTTTATTGTTTTATTATTTTCCTTTACGTTCCTCAGTGGAACATAGGGCTTCAAGCTAGTGGCTTGGAGTTTCTGTAGCAGTGTTTATTTTACAGGATGGGGTTGCTAGCCTCATGCCCAACCTTTCCTCTTCACCAGCATTATTTCTGGCTTAGCGAGGTAAACGAGTGCGTCGGCCGGGGATCGAATCCCGGACTGTGTGCATGTTAGGCAAGCGCCCTAACCGCTATGCCACCGACGCACAATTAGACAGTTAAGTGAATGAATTTACCGCATAAAGACTGACTGACGCACTGGTTTCAACGTAGAACTTTGCACCACTTCCAGTAACCACAGTCCATTTGCCACACAAAGCCAAAGAAGAGAGTAAACAAAGATTCAAAAGAGAGTTAGTAAACAGAAGTGTGAGCGGGGCAAAAAGAAAAGTAATATGGAAGAACAATTCAGTTCTATTGGATATGACAAGTCACGGAGAGTGAATACATCTGCACCAGTCATTGAGATTGATTTCAAGCCATGTCATCGATTGTCTGTAGCCTTCACTGGCTTTTACCATCCTGAGGGCTCCAAACCACCAAGTCTACACCTCCCTCCCTACATGGCTTAATCTAAGTGTTGTGGATTTCATTGACTGATGAGGCCATGTTTTGGTTTGAGCACCACTGGCTCTTTTCCAACGTGATCGATCCTATATGAGCGGCTAACATTTTCCGTCCGTCAAAGAAGGCGATGGCTAGGGCTAGGCATGCGTAACACATGTCCTAACCATCCCTCTCAATCAATGTAACCTCACAACCACCTCGTCAACTGATTTCCCCCCCCCTTACCTAGCACTTGACCGATGCCTATTCACAATATCGCAGAAAGAGAATTCCCTTCAGTGGAATGCTTGTTCTCATCTTTATGTCTTGATGATCATTCCACGAGTATTATAATGCTTCTTTAGCTAGATTTCATACATATAGATAGGCATACGTGGGAGTGTGACTCAGGAAGCGGGGGGGGGGGAACCGTACTTCGCAGTCCTTTAGAAATTTCGACCTAGATTTTACTTTTGACATAGTTCAGCGAAAAGTCCCTTTTCAGAGGCGAATTCATTTCCTTAGCTGTAAAATCGCAATTAATAAATACTCTTATTTTTGTATTTGTGTGTACATCAGGTTTGTCCGATAAGAATAAAAATACATTAGGATTATTGTTATCAAGACATTTCAAAAATGTGACGAGTAATCAAATTGTACCTGGGGTCGGGGGTGAAGATTGGTAAGAGGGTAGTGGTGATGTGTTCTCAAAAAGACATAGTTACTCATGTCAATCAACATATAAAAGAAGTTGAAGAGCGTAATACAGTTGCGCAACTGGGTGAATAGCTTAGTGAGTGAGTTGTAATTAGGCTGCACATAGAAACAAAGGATATTGTGGAATTATGTAAGAGTTCTAAAAATTACAAATGTTATAAGGAGTTCACATCGGAATAGATTCGGCGTGTGAATGTGTGAAATGTTGAGGTGGATTGTAGCGCAGGAGACCGTGGCCTGTGTGAATGTGGGGTGTATGAACTGTGTTAGAAATTCTTGAGTGATAGCGTGAGTGTGTGTGCGAACGTTATGTTAAAATGTTGCATATCTTGTTGAAGATGTGATGACAAGTGTGTTGGCGGCGAATTATGGCTCGTTGGTCTACGGGTATGATACTCGCTTAGGGTGTGACTGGTCCCGAGTTCGAACCCCGGACGAGCCAAGGATTTAACAAATAATAATGCTTGCCAGTTAGTTTGCAATTAGGCTACAAAACACTCATTACCGTATAAATACAACTACGTATACCAACTGGAAATATGTCTACAATTAAAGATGCTGAGCTCTGGAGTGCAGATAGAGGTATATCTGTGGTGAGAGCTGGCTACTAGCCAAAGTTGGTAAACGGTAATTGACGTCAATGTTTATGTCCCCAATATTGGTGGTGAGAAAATGAGAACAAAGGCTTTGCGTAGGCGGATACAGTTAGCATATGGATGATCTGACACAGCCACAAAGAGATGCAAAGTTAACTTTCTGTGAGAAACAACCAATCAAAAGACTGTATTTTCTACTAACAATAATCTACAATAATGTACATTAAAATCTATAAGTATGTGTTGATTTTCCTTAATAAACGATCTGTTGCCTGACCCTTGTCTTCTGTTGTTACATATCGACCAGCACTGCACTGAGGCATCAGGAATTACTCAATGAAATTTAGACCTGAAGTATACGAATAGGGGGAGGGGAAGGGGGTGAGAAATGAATTCAGACGTTAGAAAGATATTTACATCCAGCAATGGACATGTGCCAGTCAGCAATCCTATAGCAGAATTCTCGACAGACACGTAGAAAGGCATTGTAGTTAGATTTCCGGCCGAAGCACTCTTGAACCACGCCTAGATAGTCAGACTAAAACAGAGGAGATGTTGTACGTTAGGTTAGCAACCTCAGCCCATTAAAAAAAGAAACAGTACCACTGCTACTGAACCATTCAGAAGTTTGAATCCGTACGTGTTCTCCACTCAGAATCCCAAAGGAATGATAAACAAAATGCGTTTGTGTATTAAAACTTACTACATCTTGATAAGCATCCCAACTGAAACGGGATAATATTAGACGACACAATTTGTGCAGAAAGGAATCTGGTGGATACTGGCAAACAGAGTTGATCAAGAACTCCAATTCTTTTTTATCAGGTTGCATAATATGAAAAGGCGCTTCATTAACCAATTGGAAGAGAATCTGAAATAAACGATAAATTATGCAAAATAGAATATTGTAATGAAACAATAGATCATGATAGAGATTGATCAGATTCTGTTTTGGTTATATGGGTGCTTCCTGGAACAAATGTCTTGATATTATCAGGATTAAGAACTGTGGTGAGAACTGTCTGCTAGCCAAAATGGTAGACAGCAATTTACGTCAATGTTTACGTCCCGAATCGGGGTCACGAGATAAAACAATAACAAAGCTTAACACCTTGAGGAACTCAACAACCAATCACGGCAGACTTAACGTGTGCAAATAGGATTAGCAGATATATGGCCTGACCTATTGATATAAGTATAAAACTTGGGCACTGTGCTGGTAGAGTATAACTCCATTATAGATAAGATTTTATTTTGATAAATCACACAGTGTGGTTATACAGTAATATTAACCGATGACATATGAAGCACAAACTATTACCACTCATAATCATATCAAGTCACTCACTCACACAACTTTCTTACTTCATTTATATACATGAGTGGAATTCATGATTAGACATTTGAATAAAAATCAATATGGGACAATGTACATTCCGAAATAATAATAAAATGAGTGTTATCAATCAAATACAATCAGATGGGAAAAAGACGAGTGTTTTAATAGTAAAAATAAGTTACTTCTTAGAATGTTTTGATGTGTTTGAATTGAAATAGAATTTTATGATTATTTATTATTCTCTTTTGATTTGACCCAATTAAACAAAATAATATAATTTACACAATAAATTGCAATGAATGTGAGTGGGGTCAACTATATAGGTTGAACTAGTAGATTGGGGGTAATCAGATTGTCAGAACATAAGAATTTAGCTAAGGTTAGAATGGTTGACCCTGAAAAGATAAGTAATTTAGAGAAAAGCTCAGCAATTGCACTTCACGCATTAACACAAAGCCACACAATAAGGTGGGAAAGGGTTAAATTCTAAAGAGTAACATAGGTAGGTGGAGGGAGAGGTTGATTACGGAATCCTTGTTCATTGAGTCTACACCCAATACATGCAACAGAAATGACTCAATGCAAATACCAGAAATATGGAAGATACTATTACCGCCGGTCAAATCAGAAGAGGATAATAAATAATCTCAAAATTCTATTTCATTTCAATTCACGTACATCACAACATTCTAACAAGTTACTTATTATGTTTAAAAAAACACTCGTCTTATTTCCCATCTGATTGTAATTGATGAATAACACTCATATTATTATTTCTGAATGTACGTTACCCCATACTGATTTTTATTCAAATATCTAATCGATTCCACACATGTGTATAAATGAAGGCGAAACGTTGTGTGAGTAAGTAACTTGATATGATTATGAGCAGCAATTATTTGAGCTCGAAATGTGGTCATCAGTTAATATTACTGCATAAGACCAATGTGTGATCCCTTCAGGGGTGACCAACGGGTTCGAATTTCTGAGTGGACAGGAGTTCCTTGAAGATTGCAGATATACCTTGCTGAATGGTGAGTGCCAATAAGAACGAAGCCTAAGTCAGGCAAGGCTTCTTCACGAAACTCTCCAACCATCTAACAACAATTCATAAAAAAATACGTATAATTCAGTTTTTGGATTTTCCGGAAGTGCTCGGTCTCAGATTGACATGTCGGTTCCTTGTGCAGATGCTTCAACGATATCTGGTCATGTAGCTTGAAGTCAATTGGTAGATGGTGATTACAAGTGGAATCTACCAGGGTGCGCATTTCGTCCCATTTAGAACTCGTCGCTGGATGTACTTACATTCTCCCCCAATGAGTGATGGTGTTCCCACAGAGGCTCGAACCCAGTGCTCATAGTTTGATCAAATGTCAAAGCGTTATCCACTAGACCACTTTGGCCACCTTTTGTGCAACAGGTCTTATTAATAATTTAATTGAAACTATCGGTACTGGGTTCCAGCCTCGGTGGGAACACCACCACTCACTAAAGAATACAAGTACATCCAGCTGACGATTACCAAAATAGGACGAAATGTGCATCCTGTATTCCATCATCCACCAACTGAATTCATAAAAAAGTCTGTTAACAATGATTTTTGAAAAAAAGGCAAAGATTGAAAACAAAGACTTACTTCTTCCACTCCCATGTATTGGTCAGTAAGGCACAGATTAAGCTGAGTTATCCGATTGTGCAGCTTTGTTGTCAATGTCGGATTCACTGTAATATCTACAGCACTTTCTGTAATTAGATTGAATAGTAAACGCAGGCATATTTGTGGATGTTTACTAGTGATCTCTGTCAACTGTTTACAACCACATTTCGGTGATATTGGCAATAAGGAGAGAAGTGAAATACTCTTGGAATTGATTTTGCCGCGGCTGCCGCTGCCGCCGCCACCACCACTACCACCACCAGTTTTTACATTAATGACATCCTGTGGTCTATGATAAACAGATAACTAAGAAGAAGAAGAAGGAAAAAAAGAAAACATTAAGGAAAAAAGAGTAATCCAAATCTCTACAAAAAAAACCAAACAACTCAACATCTAAATATCGATCGTCAGCTCATTGATGGCTAGTACTGAGTGCCAGGCAGGTTTTAGGCCAGGAAGAGAGTGTATTGATCATATCTTCACCCTCCGACAGATTCTAGAACATAAGCATTCCTACCGGCGTCCAACAATCATTATATTTCTTGACATAAAGGCGGCATTCGATTCTGTTGACCGAGAGGTTCTCTGGCGATGCTTGGCTGTAAAGAGAATGCCGAGAGAATACATTGCACTGATTAAGGCACTCTATTCGTACTCATGCAGCCAGGTATGGGCTTACGGCAAGTTGTCATCTGAAATGGTGACGACTAGTGGCATCCGTCAAGGATGCCCATTATCCCCATTCCTATTCAACTTCATCATAGACGTACTAATGGACTTAACCATAACTCACTTCAGAGATTCAGGGATTGATTTGCTACCAGGGAATAATCTCGTCGACTTAGAATATGCGGACGATATAGTCCTTTCAGGCGAGGACGCTGGCAAAATGCAGAGTCTTCTGAACACCTTGAGCAACAATCTTTGTATGTTTGGCATGCGATTCACCCCTGTAAAATGTAAGATGATGCTGCAGGATTGGACTTCACCGACCCCTAGATTAGAAATAGGAAGTGAAGTGGTAGAGCACGTTGACTGATTCACGTACTTGGGAAGTACCATCAGCCAACGCCAACGGGTTGATCTCTGACGAAATTGCAGCACGAATACAGAGGGCTAGGTTCGCATTCGCCAGTTTTCGCCGTCTCTGGCGTAGACGTGATATCCGACTATCGACCAAAGGGCGTGTGTACTGCTCAACAGTCCGCTCCGTCCTCCTTTATGGCTGTGAGACCTGGCCATTGAGAGCAGAAGACATGAAAAGACTAGCTGTCTTCTATCGTAGGTGTAAGCGTTCTATCTCCCGCGTGAAGTGGTATGATAAGGTGAGCAATATTGAGGTTAGGCGTCGAGTTCTAGGTAAGGAGGGGTAAATCAATCGACGAAGCTGTGAAATTACATCGACTGAGATGGTTAGGACATGTGTTACGTACACATACCTAGCCATCGCCTTCCTCGACAATGGGCAATGTTAGCTGATATAGGGTCAGGCTGGAAAAGAGCTAGCCAGTGGTGGTCAAACCAAAACATGGCACCAGTCAATGAAATCCACAACAGTTAGTCTAAGCCGGTCACGTAGGAAGGTGTAGACTTCCTGGCTGGTTGGGGTCCTCGGGACGGTAAAACCAATGGTTGGAAACAATTGGTGACATGGCTCGAAATCGTTCTCAGTGTCTGGCGGAGATGCATCCACTCCTTGTGACTTATGATTTCCGATGGAACTGTTTTGTTCTTCGTTATTACTATTCCTTTGTCTCACACCTCTTTTTACTGTCTATATTATGCATTTCTTCTACTTTCTTCTCTTGCTTTGTGTGCTACATGAAGGGAGTGTGGCGACTTGAACTGCCGCACATATGTGCAAAGTTCTATGTCGAAAACAAAGAACAATAAAAATCAGTACTGGGTGGATTTCCTGAAGCTGCTGCAGTGAGAAATCGTGACCAGTGAGATCCATCATGTCATCAAGGTGAACTGAGTGCTCATCGAAGGTATTATTTGAAGGTAGCGCGCTATACCACGAATTGACAAAGTGCACCAATGAAGAGTTCCGAATTGGGACGAAACACTTGTCCAATGATCCCAGTGGTTTTTAATGATCTCTCTAACCGATGTTGGTTCATGACCAAATTCACATTAAAATTAATCCAGATCAATATATGCTCATATAATGGTAAAATATCTCATGGACGTGTCTTCCAAAAGAATGGATATCCACGGAATTTCATCAAAAGACATCTACCTCCTCCAAGCCGCCAACTTACCCAATCAAAGAGTCCCAAGGAAAACACATAGAAAACCGCCCAACCATATATATATAAAAGACATCTCAGAAATCACTACAAGATTCTTCAAACCTTTAGGAATTGATGTTGTAGCACACAAACCAACAAAATCACTTCACTCAGCTGGCTCTGTGTCAACCAAAAGACTCAACAGCGAAAGGAGATAAAACCAACATCATCTGCAAAATAAGTTGTAACGATTACGGTAAACACTACACTGGCGAAAGTGGACATCCTCTTCATCTTCATATCCATGACCATAAACTAGTCATCAAAAGACATGACATCCACTCCCTCCCTCATATCGCTGCACACAGACAACCACGGACATCAATTCGACTGGGACAACCAACGTTCATATATTAGACAGAGGAAACACCAAGAATGCTAGCCAGAGAATTTTTAGAATCCTGATATTCCAGTGAATCGTCAATCAATAGACACATCGAGATAGACAAAATTTACCAATCGATAAGAAGGAAATCTCACACACAAATGATAAAACTTCAGGTCAAAGAAACAATCAGTTCCAATACAAGTAGTCTAGAGGGTGTGAAAACACACAAAAACAACCAAAGAGTCACGTTCAAGGTGGTCACCAGGAGAGATGACTACTAAACTTGTGGCGAAATCTAAAAGCTCACTTCAAATGGAAGTACGAGCTGAAGATGTTGCCTAGTAGGGCAATAAAAAGCTTCGCAAATAAACCATCCAGCTAGCTCAGAGAACACAACTACATCAAAAAAAAAATACTTTTTCAGATATTGCTTTGATTTCAAGCCAAATGTCACCACCGACCGATATCAGTTAGAGAACCATCAGGTGTCAGTGGAGCTGTATATATCGCGAGTTGAAAGAAATTAGGATTCCTGGATCATTGGATCTCGTCCTTGTGCTTAAATAGTAACATTAAGGTGCTGAATTCGATCCCCGATTGGTACACGAGTTTGTACTGATGAAGAGTCCTAAAAGGGAGAAAACTATTCACTGCCCAATGGTTTTTAATGACTCTCTAGCTAACTGATGTACTAGGGAGTTCACATTTCAAGGCAGCCTGACAGTTACTAGCAGACCAGTTTCACTCAAATCCATTGTTCTTCAGATTGTCACACAGAAAGACAGTAGGACAGAACTTACTATACTACTGAGAAGTACAATCAGCTTGGGCACTGTGGTGGTAGAGTATAACTCCATTATAGATAAGATTTTATTTTGATAAATCACACAGTGTTGTTATACAGTAATATTAACTGATGACCACATTTCGAGTACAAATTATTGCTGCTCATAATCATATCAAGTACTCACACCTTTTTTCTCAATAAAGCAGGAATTAGGGTGGTATTCAAACCTACAAACTCACTCAGGTAGGACAAGCTCTGTAGACTAAAGACCCAGTGGACCCAATCAAACAAAATAATATAATTTACAAAATACCCTGCAATAACTGTGAGTGAGATCAACTATATAGGTCAAACTAGTAGATCGGGGTTGTCAGATTGTCGGAACATAAGAATTTAGCTAAGGTAAGAATGGGTGACCCCGAGTAGATAAGCAATTTAGCAAAAGAAACTCAGCAGTTGCACTGCATGTATGCATTAACACACAAACAGACAATATGGTGGGAGAGGGTGAAAATTCTAAGAAGTAATCTATGTAGGTGGAGATAGAGAGAGAGGTTGATTACTGAATCCTTCTTGGTTCATCGAGTCTACACACCCAACACATGCAACAGAAATGACTCAATGCAAATACCAGAGATATGCATGGAAGATATTATTACCACCAGTCAGTCAAATCAGAGGAGGATAATAAATAATCTCAAAGTTCTATTTCAATTCAATTCACGTACATCACAACGTTCTGACAAGTTACTTATTTCGACTATAAAAAAACCCTCGTCTTATTTCCCATCTGATTGTATTTGATTGATAACACTCATATTATTATTTCTGAATGTACATTATCATCTTATATTGATTTTTATTCAATCAAATGTCTAATCATCAATTCCACTCATGTATATAAATGAAGGAAAAACGTTGTGTGAGTAACTTGATATGATTATGAGTGGCGATAGTTTGTGCTCGAAAGGTGGTCATCAGTTTATATCACTGTATAACAAGCACTGTGTGACTTATCAAAATAAAATCTTATCTATAATGGAGTTATAATCTATCACAGTGCCCAAGTTTTATACTTATATCTCTTTACCTTTCCCTCATTTCTACATTTATTATTGCTATTAGTTACTATCCTCACTTTGAATTGTTCCCGCTTGTCCCTTTTGTCATTCTAAATCCAAAAAGCATTCTCTTACAATATTGAATTCTATCTTATCAAATGTCACACCATGTTATGTGACGTTTTATATTAACCTACTAACCCTATAATTCTACACCCCTTTCCAACATCTATACGTTTTATGCATCATAGGTGTCCAGCAATTGCACTTGAGAACACTACTGCCTTTCAAACAGAGACTTTTAGGAATATCCTCGGAAAATCTAGGTGACGCTTTCCTCTCCTCTCCTCTTCTCTCTCTCTCTCTCCCTATCTATAAAACGTGTTTGGGGCGTATCCTAAAGTTTGTGGAAGCCGTAGCTTGCAATTAGAAAGTTTAAACCCCCTTTATGCGTTCAAAGCAACAATTCGTCATCACATTAAACCTTCCTTGGTAAATTTTGTTTTGATACCATAGCAGTTGTACTATTACCTCTGCTATTTGGTTTAGTGGTCTTCATTGTTATTTTGACTTTCAATATGTCCTTTTCACTTGACCTAAGTAGTCTATTTTCTCACCTCTCACATCTTTATTAATTTCATATACATTCCTATGACAAGTCCGTGTGTGATCAGATTGTTCGAAATGTGTTGCGCACATACATTACACGATTCAGACTGTGTGATTTATCAAAATCAATTTTTATCCATAATGAAGTACAATCAGCTTTTAATGGGTACATTGGAAATCTGAAAAATACCTAACACATCATTATAGTGAGGAGATGCGGCGCATTG